ACTTTTTTAAACCAAATCGACCTTTTGAGAAGTTCAGATAAGCACAACATTTAGAGGGTCATTTTGTTCTTTATATAACCTGGTAACTATTCTTACATATTTTGAGTCAATGAATGTCTCCAGCGGATTCTTCATCCTTCAGGCTGTAACGTCTGCAGCGGGTAATCAGACTGTAACGTCTGCAGCAGGTAAACAGACTGTAACGTCTGCAGCAGGTAAACAGGTAAACAGACTGTAACGTCTGCAGCGGGTAAACAGACTGCAAAGTCTGCAGCAGGTAAACAGACTGTAACGTCTGCAGCGGGTAAACAGACTCGCCTGCAGCGGGTAAACAGACTGTAACATCTGCAGCAAGTAAACAGACTGTAACGTCTGCAGCGGGTAAACAGGCTGTAACGTCTGCAGCAGGTAAACAGACTGTAACGTCTGCAGCGGGTAAACAGACTGTAACGTCTGCAGCAGGTAATCAGACTGTAACGTCTGCAGCAGATAAACAGGTAAACAGACTGTAACGTCTGCAGCAGGTAAACGGACTGTAATGTCTGCAGCAGGTAAACGGAATGTAACGTCTGCAGCAGGTAAACGGACTGTATCACCGGCAGCAGGTAAACGGACTGTAACGTCTGCAGCAGGTAAACGGACTGTAACGTCTGCAGCCAGGGCCGGCCTGTGGCATAAGCAGTATAGGCAAATGCTAGGGGCGCCATCATCCATAGGGGGCGCCGCTGGTGCCCATATCAGTGCGGCAGAAAACTTGAAGATAAGAAGAAGAAATAGAAGGAAAATGTGTTTAAATATCATTAAATATTATTTATCTAATATAATTTTCATGCTATCAGTTAGTAATGATACAAACGAAGCCATGAAAACACAACTATCACATTTAAAAAGCTCTATTTTCTTTCCTCCTGCATTACGCGGCTGATCACAACACAGCTGCTCGTTACCTGCTCGTTGTGGAGGAGGAGGGCAGGTGACTTATTAGAAGTGAGAGACACTGACCGTACGGATTAATATCACGTTTATAAATGACCGTAATGTGAACAACAACAAAGCCCCCGGGAGCCCAGGGACGAAAAAGAAGAAGAGGAGGAAAAATATGAAAAAGACACAGAGGTAACATGCTGCACAGATCAATTATCTGTTGTAGTTAAGATGATAGTAACGTCAGTGTTTCCTAGCTCGAGTTAACATCAGTTATTTCCACTGTACTTTTATTCGGTAAAGATTATTCATGTTAAGGAAATAACCAGTGTAAGAAATACACTTCTTCTTTTGTTCTTATTTTGTTTGGGACACAAAACCTACTTTTATATTTATTGACATCTTTGTGAACTTAGTTAGCTTTCACCTTCGTAGATTAAAATGTTTATTTTCCATCTCCTGTTGTCATTAATAGTTTTAAGCTCTTGCCTTTAGAGTATTGATGAAAAAGAGCATGAATGCATTTTGTGCTAGAGTTCCTCACTGAATAGATAGTTGTGCATGTTGTAGGTTCTGGCTAGGAAAACGTTTGGGCTCACCTGAAAAACTATGCTGAGGTTTCTGTACTGCACTATATTCTAAAATGCCCATCGTTCCACAAATGCCCCTCTTCTCTCTCCAGATGCAATCAAAACATTTAAATCCATCCCCTGCCTTCCCGTCTGTGACCACTTCTGCTCCCTGCACTGTTTGATATTGTTTGTTCTGTTACACTAGTTATTTGTGAAGAAATATTAGAGTTATTACCATTTTATTCATGTTTATTTATAAGTATTTTTTATTTTTAAATAAATAAATAATGTTAAATATAAAACTGTGTGCCAGTTTTCTTTAAGTGGATGAATATAATATATTAGTGGTCAAACTGGCTGCAATTTAAGGGGCAACCGCTAAAATCTTGCCTAGGGCACCAAAATGGTTAGGGCAGGCTCTGTCTGCAGCAGGTAAACAGACTTTAGACTTTCTGTGGATGTTAAAAATGGAGCCACACCCTGAGCAGCCTTCTCTCCTCCTCCTCCTCTCCTCCTCTCCTTCTCCTCCTCCTCTCTTCCTTCTCCTCTCCTTCTCCTCTTCCTCCTCCTCCTCCTCTCCTCTTTCCCCACTCCTTCTCCTCCTCCTCTCCTCCTTCTCCTCCTTCTCCTCCTTGTCCTCTTCCTCTCCTCCTCCTCTCCTCCTCCTCCTCTCCTCTTTCCCCACTCCTTCTCCTGGTAAAACTCTGACTGTGCAGATAGGAGCTTAGCCTGTGATCACATCTCCTACAGATGACAATTTGTTCTCTGCAGATGAGATGAGATTCAACTTTATTGTCATTACACATATACAAGTATAGAGTAACGAAATGAGGTTTGGCATCTCACCAGAAGTGCAAATAAGCAGAAAGTGCAAGAGTCTGTGCTATGTACAGTAATTACAAAATTTACAGATGTAGACAAAAAAAGTGAATTATTAGGTATATCTGGATGGCTGGATTAATGGGATGCAATAAATACAAATAAATGCTATAAATAAGTAATGCTACAAAATAAGTGTATTCTTAGGATTATAATAAGTGTATTCTTAGGATTATAGATGGAGCTCCATGTCATCTGTCAGCTGGTCTCAGTGTGTGGGCGTGGTCTGATCCTCCGTCCTGACCTGCACACCTTCATCACCTTTTTTCTGCAGACCAACTGTCTGTGCTGAGTGGATAGAATCCTTCAAACAGACAGAAACATGAGGGCAGAGTGAAACGTTGAGTTTCCTGGCTTGCACTTCTTGAATAAAAGGGCATTTTTTAAATAAATTAGGATAAAGTCTGAAAAAACAACTCATGCTTATTTAGCCTTTTTATACTGAAGAGAAAAAAATCTGTGGGACCACATCAGACACAAGAACAATGCCCACAGCTTGTAATTATGTTTGAAATGTGGTAAGTAGAATATCAAGATTTCCAATTATTTTCAAAGACGAGGAGAAAGAAAGGAGCCTGGAGGAGATATAAGTCTGAGCTTCACATGGTTCCACTTTACAGGCCTGAAGAGAAACAAACAAATTGCACCTCATTTGGTTCGCCCGGGTATTTTTAACTGCTTTTGGCTGGCAAAGCCGCAGCACAATCAATTGCACGCTCAAGAACAGCACTGACTCTGCAGAAAGAGCTCACACACACACACACACACAAACACACACACACACACACACACACACACACACACACACACACACACACAAAACACACACACACACACACACACACACACACACACACACACACACACACACACACACACACACATACACATACACATACACACACACACACACGCACAGTGAACAGTATCCAGGGGTTTTACATGAGAAAGTTGCAGCTCTTGTGTTTGTGGCCTGGCGTGACTCGAACACGTCTGAGTCAGCGAGTCGCCGCAGAAAACTGACGGATGCTGAGCAAACTGACCGCTGCTCCTCCATCTTTAACTTCTTTAGTCTGAACGTGAGCTTCATGATGAACACACACACACACACACACACACACACACACACACACACACACACACACACACACACACACACACACACACACACACACACACAAAGCTTAACATTTTTGTCTTTGCTCTCCAACATCTGAGGACTTTCTACCTTTTGATTTCACATCAGAGGGTGTGTGGGCATACAGCGAGGAGCCTGTGTGTGTGTGTGTGTGTGTGTGTGTGTGTGTTTCTACAATTCTACCCACAAGCAAGGATCTAGAATAAAGGGAACAATGTCAGTGAGAGAAAAGGATCAGCTTTGGACACACAGGTGCTGACAGGAAGTGACCAGAGGCAAAGCACAACATTGACAGCAGTTCTTGAGAGCTCTAATCAGTATAGAAACCATCTTATAAGTCGTCGTTATCAAACAAAAACCATCGTCATTACCATCATCATCATCAATAATATCCAGATCATCATCATTAAGTTAGTAGGTATTCATGAAAGAGCTGGGTCTTTAGCTTTTTATTAAAGGTGCAGAGGGACTCTGCAGATCCAATGGAGTGTGGAAGGTCATTCCACCACCGGGGGGGCAACAGAGGAGAAGAGTCTAGTTAGAGACTTAGGACCCTGTAGTGAAGGTTGGATCAGACGCCTTTCATTGGCAGAGCGTAGTGGGGGGGAGAGAGTGTAGACCTGGATGAGAGAGTTAAAGTAAGGAGATGTTTTTGTCGCTGTTTTGTAAGCAAGCAGCAGAGTTTTAAATTTGATGTGAGCAGTAACTGGGAGCTGGAGAGGAGAAGGAGATGAACAGCGGAGTGACATGTGCTCTTTTAGGAAGGTTGAAGACCAGTCGTGCTGCTGCATTTTGTATCATCTGCAGGGGTTTGATAGTACGTGTAGGAAGCCCTGCCAGTAGAGAGTTGAAATAATTGATGCGTGATATCACAAGAGCCTGTACCAGGAGCTGTGTAACGTGTTCTGACAGGTAAGGTCTGATCTTCCTGATGTTGTACAGGGCAAATCGACATGACCGGGCAATCGAAGCTACTTGAACCTTAAAAGTTAGCTGGTCATCAATCATGACACCCAGGTTCCGGGCAGACTTTGTGGGCATGAGTTTGGTTGTTCCAAGCTGGATATTGATCTGTGGTTGCATAGAGGGACTGGCTGGGATGACAAGGAGCTCAGTCTTTGAAAGATTGAGTTGAAGGTGGCGTTCATTCATCCATTTAGAGCAGGGGTGTCCAAAGTTTTTTTAGTGAGGGCCAAATACAAAATATTTAATTTGGGGCCGGGCCACACACTAGAGGTGACATATTAACACATGAATACTGTGTGTATTTCTAACTCACTTATAATCTGAAGAACATTGCACTCAGTGGGAGCAGTGATGCTGTCCTTTGGATTGAAGGATGGCTGACATGTCTGGAGTAAGTTTGGTGGTTGAGACATAAAGGACTTCACAGAGATGGCTATCAGTCATTCTGGTTCTCAGTCTGCTTTTGTTATGATTTAACAGAGAAAATGTTTGTTCACATATGTATGTTGAACCGAACAGGCTCATTTTGCGTGGCGTCTCATCAGAGGAAACTTGGCATTATCCAAACTCTGATCGAAGTCAGGGAGGGAGAGAAGCTGATGTTGACTCTTCAGAGAATCATCACATTGCATTTCAATCAGTTCTAACTGCAGACTCTCTTCCACTTCTTCTGCATCCACCAGAAAGGGGGTCGAGAACAGCTTGATTTCTTTTTCAATGACAGAAAAATCTTGGAATCGCTGGTTGAATTCTGTCAGGAGAGATACATATTTCTCCTTTTTAGCAGAAAGGTCGGCCTTTGGAATAGCAGACTTGATTTCAGACAGCGCAGGGAAGTGTGCAGCATTAAAGCTTCGTAGTTGTGTCTCAAACAGACGGAGCTTTACATAGAAGGCTTTCATGTGCGCATACAGGTGTTCTTTGCCTTGTAGGTTCTTGTTCAGTGTATTCAGATGATGAGTAAGATCAACTAAAAAAGCCAGGTCTGACAGCCACAGAGGGTCACTCAGTTCATGAAGAGGTCGGCCCTTTTCTTTCAAAAACTGGTCGATTTCTGATCTCAGCGAGTAAAACCGTTGCAGCACAGAGCCGCGGCTGAGCCAGCGCACATCAGAGTGGTAGAGTACATCCCCGTATTCCGCATCCACGTCAGATAGGAAAGCTTGAAATTCTCTGTGGTACAGTCCTCTAGCGCGTATTATGTTGACAGTTTTCACAACAGTGTTCATCACATCGCCCAGCTTGACAATCTTGGCACACAGTGCTTCTTGGTGGATTATACAGTGCACCCTAACAGCCTCACCGCCGCTCTCTTTTACCTTGGCGCACACCATCGATGCCATTCCTTTGCGCTCGCCGGTCATGGCCGTTGCTCCATCCGTTGTTACTCCACAGAGCTTTTCCCATTTAAGCCCCATCTTTTCAACGGCCTCCTTCACAGCTTCAAAAATGTCTTTACCCGTCGTTGTGCCTTTTAGGCTCATCATATCAAGCAGCTCCTCCGTACAGCAAAAATTATCATCCACTCCCCGCAAAAAAATTAACAGCTGCGCGATGTCTGTGGCATCTGTACTCTCATCACATGCTATCGAGTAAAAATCAAAAGCACAAGCTTTGTCTTTCAGCTGAAGTTTCAAGTTAGCTGACAAGTCACACACTTTCCGTTGACTTCTTTGAAGAAATATTCATTTTCCCACCGTGTTTGAAATCTCCTACACTCACTAGCTATTTTGCGCTTCTTCGGTGCTGCCATTTCTGGTGACTTGCGGTATAAGTTTTTCTTTGCTTAATTTTGTTTAGTGGAGAAGCACCGTTTCCGTGGCTGGCTCCATCTAGTGTTGAAACTGAGAAGTGCAACAGAGTTGAGCTCAAGCTTCTTGTTCGGGCCATATTCAATTATATTTTCAGAATTTGCAGCGGGCCAATAAAAACTGGACCGCGGGCCGCAGTTGGCCCGCGGGCCGTAGTTTGGACACCCCTGATTTAGAGATATCAGCAAGGCATGATGAGATTCTTGCAGAGACTGTAACATCGTCTGCCGGGAAAGACAGGAAGAGCTGGGTACCGTCAGCATAGCAGTGGTATGAGAAGCCATGAGAGCGGATTATTGAACCAAGTGAGCTTGTGTATATGGATAAGAGAAGGGGACCAAGCACTGACCCTTGAGGTACCCCTGTGGATAAGCTGTGCGCTTTGGACACTTCTCCCTTCCACGACACTCTAAAGGATCGCTGCTTCCAGACTGCTCGCTCTCATTGGAAGATCTCCCCCTAACCCCCTAACGTTCAGGAGTTTTAAATTCACCAGATATATGAACATGTTCAACATGTTCAGGCACAGCACCCTGAGAGTGGAGCGGCGTGGAGAGACACATTTGAGGAGTTTGTTAAAGTGAGGGAAAATGAAGGGTCCTAAAGTGTGCTCTCATGAACGCCCATGAGGAGAGCATGCAAACTGTTACATGATCACAAATTAGCAGTTTATACGATAACAGCCTCATATCAGACATTATCAACAGGAAGCTCCTGATCTGTGTGTGTGTGTGTCTCTGTGTGTGTGTGTGTGTGTGTGTGTGTGTGTGCATGTGTGTGTGTGCTCTGATCTGAGATGATCCTTTATTATTTTATGTCAGTGTCGTCCAGTTTCATCCCAGAGGTTCAGTTTATGTAGACAATTTCACGCTTTATGGTTCTTACACAAGCCATGGATCAGTCACGCATACAGGATCTGTGTGTGTGTGTGTGTGTGTGTGTGTGTGTGTGTGTGTGTGTCTGTCTGTCTGTCTGTCTGTCTGTCTGTCTCTCTCTCTCTCTCTCTGTCTGTCTCTCTGTCTCTCTCTGTCTCTCTGTCTGTCTCTCTGTCTGTCTCTCTCTGTCTCTCTCTGTCTCTCTCTGTCTCTCTCTCTCTCTCTCTCTCTCTGTCTCTCTGTCTGTCTCTCTCTGTCTCTCTCTGTCTCTCTCTCTCTCTCTCTATCTCTGCCTGTCTCTCTCTCTCTGTCCCTCTCTCTCTCATGTAGAGTAAGAGTTTATGAGTATGAGCTGCAGCACAGTTGTTTGTCGTGTAGAGAATTAGTGTTCAGTAACTCTGACTTGTAAATGTTTGACTGTGTTGGATGTCTCAGAAACCGCTGCTGTATTTGTGTAATAACAAAAAGAGCTCTGACAGCAGAAACGGGTCGACTTAACAAGGCCTGTGGTCTCATTTTCATCCAAATTAAATGTCTGTGTTCACAAACAAGAACAGGATGCCAGGGGGATGAGATAAGTCCTCGCTGTCCCGGGGGCCGCTCTTTTTAAAACAATAATTTCTTCTTCTTTTGGGGATAAACTACTCAACAGCTGCTTGAAGACAAAGCTCTGTTGAGCCACTCAAACACAGTCTCTAAGTTTGCTAATCTGTGAAAATGATGAAGAGACCCTAAAAAAGGAGGAGGAGCTGACCTGCTGATGTCACCAGCTCGAAGAGTGAGTAGTTGTCACATCTGGATGATTAGAGTATTTTCACAGGTGAAAGCAACATAGCAGGAAGTGAAAACTAAGGAATGTTTAAAAGATGGATGACAAAACCGCTCAATGTAAGTGAAGCAAACACAATGAGAGCTCTCCTTGCTGATTGTCTGCAGTATAGATCATAAGCTCAGCCTCCTCCATGTTAACAGATGGGTCTTAATCTAAACACACGTCAACACACTGTGTGTCCCTCCCTCTCTCTCTCTGTCTGAAGCTCTTTCAAAGTGGGAAAGCCAAGACATCACACCTCCATCACTCTAATGACCATAACTGCCATAACTTCCATCAGCATTATGGTATATAATAGTTACATGGTGGTTACATTATGGTTTATAATGGTTACATTATCGTATATAATAGTATATAATGGTTACATTATTGTATATTATGGTATATAATGGTCACATTATGGTATATAATGGTCATATTATGGTTACATAATAGTTACATGAGGGTACATAACGGTATATAATGGTATATAGTGGTTACACTATGCTATATAATGGTATATAGTAGTTACATTATGGTATATAGTGGTTACATTATGGTACATAATGGTATATAGTGGTTACGTTATGGTATATAATGGCCATATTATGGTACATAATAGTTACATGATGGTACATAACGGTATATAATAGTATATAGTGGTTACATTATGCTATATAATGGTATATAGTTGTTACATAATGGTATATAATGGTTACATTATGGTATATAATGGTATATAGTGGTTACATAATGGTATATAATGGTTACATAATGGCATATAATGGTTACATTATGGTACATAATGGTATATAGTGGTTACATTATGGTATATAATGGTTACATTATGGTATATAATGGTATATAGTGGTTACATAATGGTATATAGTGGTTACATTATGGTATATAATAGTTACATTATGGTACATAATGGTATATAGTGGTTACGTTATGGTATATAATGGTTATGTTATGGTTTATAATGGTATATAATGGTTACATTATGGTACATAATAGTTACATGATGGTACATAACGGTATATAATGGTATATAGTTGTTACATTATGCTATATAATGGTATATGGTGGTTACATTACGCTATATAATGGTTGCATTATGGTACATAATGGTATGTAGTGGTTACATTATGCTATATAATGGTATATAGTGGTTACATTATTGTATAAAGTGGTTACATTATGGGACATAATGGTATATAGTGGTTACGTTATGGTATATAATGGTTATGTTATGGTTTATAATGGTATATAATGGTTACATTATGGTACATAATAGTTACATGATGGTACATGATGGTATATAATGGTATATAGTGGTTACATTATGGTATATAATGGTACATAGTGGTTACATTATGGTATATAATGGTTGCATTATGGTATATAATGGTTGCATTATGGTACATAATGGTATGTAGTGGTTACATTATGCTATATAATGGTATATAGTGGTTACATTATGATATATAATGGTATATAGTGGTTACATTATGGTATATAATGGTATATAGTGGTTACATTATGGTATATAATGGTATATAGTGGTTACATAATGGTATATAGTGGTTACGTTATGGTATATAATGGTTATGTTATGGTTTATAATGGTATATAATGGTTACATTATGGTACATAATAGTTACATGATGGTACATGATGGTATATAATGGTATATAGTGGTTACATTATGGTATATAATGGTATCATAGTGGTTACATTATGGTATATAATGGTTGCATTATGGTACATAATGGTATGTAGTGGTTACATTATGCTATATAATGGTATATAGTGGTTACATTATGATATATAATGGTATATAGTGGTTACATTATGGTATATAGTGGTTACATTATGGTATATAATGGTATATAGTGGTTACATAATGGTACATAGTGGTTACGTTATGGTATATAATGGTTATGTTATATAATGGTTATGTTATGGTTTATAATGGTATATAATGGTTACATTATGGTACATAATAGTTACATGATGGTACATAACGGTATATAATGGTATATAGTGGTTACATTATGCTATATAATGGTATATAGTTGTTACATTATGATACATAATGGTATATAGTGGTTACATTATGGTATATAATGGTATATAGTGGTTACATCATGGTATATAATGGTACATAGTGGTTACATTATGGTATATAATGGTTACATAACGGTATATAATGGTATATAGTGGCTACATTATGGTATATAATGGTATATAGTGGCTACATTATGGTATATAATGGTATATAGTGGTTACATTATGGTATATAATAGTAACACGATGGTACATCAAGGTATATAATGGTTACATTATGGTATATAATGGTATGGTTACATATATAATGGTTACATTATGGTATATAATGGCATATAATGGTTACATTATGGTATATTATGGTCACATTATGGTATTTAATGGTTAAATTATGTATATAATGGCATATATAGTTACATTATGGTATATGATGCTTACATTATTGTTTATAATGGTATATAATGGTCACATCATGGTATATAATGGTCACAATATGGTTTATAATGGTATATAATGGTTACATTATGGTATATAATGGTATATATGAGATGAGATGAGATGAGATTCAACTTTATTGTCATTACACATATACAAGTATAGAGTAACGAAATGAGGTTTGGCATCTCACCAGAAGTGCAAATAAGCAGAAAGTGCAAGAGTCTGTGCTATGTACAGTAATTGAGTGCAAGAGTCTGTGCTATGTACAGTAATTCTGTGCTATGTACAGTAATTGCAAAATTTACAGATGTAGACAAAAAAAGTGAATTATTAGGTAAATCTGGATGGCTGGATTAATGGGATGCAATAAATATAAATAAATGCTATAAATAAGTAATGCTACAAAATAAGTGTGTTCTTCGGATTATAATATACAGATTAAGGTGCAGTGAGCAGGGGGGGGGGTCAGCAGGGGGCGGAGAGAGAGAGGGAGAGAAAGAGAGAGACAGAGTTCAGAGTTCGGGGGGTAGAGTTCAGTAGAGAAACAGCTCTGGGGAAAAAGCTGTTCCTCAGTCTGCTGGTTCTGGTCCGGAGGCTTCTGAAGCGCCTGCCGGAGGGCAGGAGGGTAAACAGTCTGTGGGCAGGGTGGGAGGAGTCTTTAAGGATGCCATGAGCTCCCCGCAGACAGCGTGTTCTTTGGACATCCTCAATGGCAGGAAGTGGACACCTTGTGATGCGCTGGGCGGTT